CATGTAATTTAAACATTCAAAGTTCTATAGCTAGGATGAGAAGATAGAAAAAAACAAAAACGGAGAAATAGACAATACTGAAGTTGAGTCAGTTCCATCAGCTCCAAACACACTCTGTACTCAGTAGTGAAGTATTGTTTTAGTTTTATTGCGAGTGAGAATGACACTCATTATTTACTGCCATAGAATTAATTACATTAATGCTAAAGCACAGAAATAGGCCTGGTCCATTTCCTGCTTTATGCTCCTCTCAAGCCTCCTCCTTATTTCACCATGTGCACATCTCACTATCCTCCTGTCCCTCATTGCCCAACTAGCTGCTCCATAAATGTATCTTCCATACTCACATCAAAGACTCCTTATGGTAGTAACTGGTTGTATTGTCTGCAGATGACTGGTACACCATTAAGGGACATGTGATCAGTGAGCTGTGCGTGGTCAGAAAGGAGAGCCCCCATCCAAGGGAGAAACAACCGAGTGTGTATATAGTTCAGGGATTTTGGAGACAGGGTGGGAATTCAATGCAGAGTTTTTGCTCATAGTTTGTAAGATTTTCTTATTAATAGGATAAATTGAGGTCCAGGATCCAGGACCCAGCACAAAAGATTCACATTACAGGTAAACCGTAAGTTCAGCGGTCGGTGATAGTTATTAATTTGACTATCTATTATAGATTACTTTCACATTAAACGTTAATAAGGGAAGTATTTACAGGCAACAAGATAAGAGACCAATATGAAATTTTCAAAAATCAAATTGAGAACTATAAAATTAAGATAGACACGCCAAGCCCAAACGGTGTGTTGTGACTACATGATGTGGGAGCCGGTGGACCCCATAGTGGTTCGTAGTGACCACATCTGTAGCAAGCATTGTTTGCTTGAGGAACTCCAGCTCAGAGTTGAGGGAGGCAAAAGACAGAAAACTATAGGCCAGTCAGCCTGACCTTGCTCATTGGTAAGATTTTAGAGTCCATTATTAAGGGTGAGGTTGTGGAGTACTTGGAAGTACATGGTAAAATAAGGCTGAGTCAAAATCTTCATCGAGGAAGTCAAACATGACAAATCTGTTAGATTTCTTTGAGAAGGTAACGAGCAAGTTAGACAAAGAAGAGCCAGTGGACGCAAACTATTTGGATTTCTGGAAGGCCTTTTACAAGGTGCTGCACAGGAGGCTGCTATGGTGTCAGGGCAGGGTACTGGCATAGATAGATGATTGACTGACTGGCAGAGGACAGAACGTGGGGATAAAGAGGTCTTTTTCAGGATGGCAGCTGGTGTCTAGTGCAGGTCTGCATTGGTCAATTGTTGGGACCACAACTATTCACGTTCTATATTAACAATCTGGGTGAAAGAAGTGAGGGTATTGTTGCTAAGTTTGCACATGACACAAAGATAGGTCAAGTGGTAGGCAGTGTTCAGGACATGGGGAGGCTGCAGAAGGACTTGAACAGGCTAGCAGAGTGGGCAAAGAATTGGCAGATGGAATACAATGTGGAAAAATGTGAGGTTATGCACTTTGGCAGGAAGAAAAGTAGTGCAAACTATTTCTAAATGGGGAAAGGCTTCAGAAATCTGAAGCACAAAGGGACTTGGGAGACCTAGTTCAGGATTCTCTTAAGGTTATCATGCAGCTTCAGTTAGTAGTTAGGAAGGCAAATGCAATGTTAGCATTCATTTCAAGAGCGAGGACATACTGCTGAGGCTGTATAAGGCTCTGGTCAGACCATATTTGGAATATGTAAACAGTTGTGGGCCCCTTATCTAAGGAAGGATGTGCTGGCATCAGAGGCCCTCCAGCAGAGATTTACAAAAGGGATCCCAGGGATGATGGGCTAGTCAAATGAGGAGCAAAGAAGGATTCTGGGTCTGTACTCAATGGAGTTTAGAAGGCTGAGGGGGGATATTAGTGAAACTTAAGGAATACTGGGAGGCCTGGATAGAGTGGACATGGAGAAGATGTTTCCGCTAGTAGAGACTAGGATCGGAGGGCACAACCTCAGAGTGAAAGGACAATCCTTTAGAACTGAGATGAAAAGGAATTTCTTCAGCCAGAGGGTGGTGAATGTGTGGAATTCATTATCGCAGAAGGCTGTGGAAGCCAAGCCATTGAGTGTATTTAAGACAGAGATAGTTAGGTTCTTGATTGGTAAGGGGATCAAGGCTTAAGGGGCGAAGGCAGGAGAATGGGGTTAAGAAACATATCAGCCATGATCAAATAGAGGAGCAGACATGATGGGCCGAATGGCCTAATTTTGCTCCCCTGGTGTTATGATATAAAGCTCTCATTGTCCATCTTACTGAGCTCTGACCCTTGGAGCATGATATGCTAAGGGAATCGTGTTGTATCACATCCAAATTGCTTAGCTTCATCTGAGACTCTCAAGTGCCATTGATTGCGGAGTGCACACATAGATACCAGGTGCTGGAATAAAGGATCATTGAATTCTTCAGTATTAGTAACTCACGTCTCATCCTTATGTTACAGGATATAACATAAGTATCACAGCATGATAGTGCCTGGTCATCAGCATATCCTGCTACCTCATGTCACTAAGGCATATTATATCAAGATCCACATTCACACTCATTAGTAATAATGCAGCAAACTATACGCATTTGTCTTGTTTTTATAAAAAATATATACTTTTTCGATAACAGCTCATCAGAACCTTGGTGACAAAGCCAGGTGATAATTTGAGGTATACTTGCAATTGCTTCTCAGTCATTGCTGACCCAACTGCCTACGAGGAACTCAATCTCCTGTTTCCCTGCCACTGATTCACTGCTTGATTCCTGATGCAGTAGCTGCTTCTTCTCACTCGGTTTGTGGGCAGACTCATCATCTCAATTAACAATGCTCTGTCTGCTTAAACCTGACTGCGCGTCCACCCAACTACTGTCCTCCCTGTGGTAACAATTGATATGCATTAGATCCATTTCTCAGGCAAGAAATTGGAGACAAATCCCATCAATTTAGTAATGGGACAATCTGAGCCAATCTTCAGAGCTGTCAGATATGATGCCAAATTTGTGGGGAACATTTACAATGCTGCAAACGAGTGTGGAGCAGTGAGAATAGATTTAACATAATCTAGCAACCAGTGATAACGAGACAACAAGGTGCAGGGCTGGATGAACACAGCAGGCCAAGCAGCATCATAGGAGCAGAGAGGCTGACGTTTCGGGCCTAGACCCTTCATCAGAAAAGGGTCTAGGC